TTGGGGAATAGCTGGCAATCTCCAAAAGAGTTGAGGCAGGGGCCAAGGGAGGAAGATAGTGTGGGGAGGTGGCAGAGTGCCAGCAGAGCCAGGAAGTGGCTCTGAGGGACTCTTCATAACAAAGTGCTGGCCTCCTCTGTCCCCATGTTCCAAAGTCCAGTCTGCAGGAAGCAGGGGGAACCATCTCAGAGTGCAACCCTCCTTCTTAGTTTCTGTCCTTCTCCTGAAGGTGATGAGAATGACAGTAATTAACCAGGGCTGGGTATGCAGCTCAGTGGCAGACACTTACCTAGCATCCAGGAGGCCCTGGGTCCTGTCTCTAGCACCACAAACAAAAGCCTCTAAGCACCCACCCTGTCCCATTCAGAGGGATGTGGGAAGCATGGCATCTCTACCTCTACAGTTTCGAGAACTTTCTACCCTTAATTCTGGGGGAAGTCAAAGAAGTCACAACCTGTTAGCTATAACCAGGGCCGGGCAGGGGAGATAGTTCAGTAGAATAAGCACTTGCCTGGCAAGTGCGAGGTTCTGAGTTTAATCCCCGGTACCGCAAAAATAAATAAATAAATAAATAAATAAATAATAAATAAAGTAGGGCCATCCCTCTCACTGCCCATGACCTATAAGTGCTGTGCCTCTCTGTCACCCCAGTGCATGTTTTCTGTGGCTGCAACTGTCTGGGTGACACTGACACAGGGCTTTCTCCCTCCTTGCCAATGTCAGGAGCCGATCCTTTGGCATCTCTTGGGCCATGGATGGTTCTGTTTTTACAAGGTTGCAAATCAGGCAGGGAAGTCAAGAGATCAAGTAATATAGACATTCGAACTCATGATACTAGAGTGACCAGGCAAACAACAACCTGCTACCAAGACTTGGAGAGGTACCCTGAGATTTCTTTTATTCTTTTTAAATGGTGCTTAAACTCAACTATTATCTACTTGGTGCAAGGCAGGCAGAGCTGCCTGGAGAAGGCATGCCTGTGACCTGCATAGCAAAGGGCATGGCTCTTGTCTTTATTTTCTTTTTTGTTGTTTTTATAAAGGAATCTGACCACTTCACTTATTGAGGCCTGCCTAACCTATGGGGAAAGTACAGGAAAAGCAGGAGGTAGGGTCCAAAGGTTTTGGGAAATGTGTGTAGGGGAAGGTTGGGTAACAGAAAACTGTTACTGGAGGATATTCACTATGGTGATGCCTGGTCACTTTCTATTGGTTTCTGAGCCAGGAAGAGGTGGGGCTGCTGGGGGTGGGGGAACTGAGTGCCCTGGGGCTCCGATATACAATGGTCTTGGACAGAAGAGCAGATTGGGCTAGGGAAGAGTTGGAGGTGGTCCATATGTAGCAGTGGAAAAAATAAAAACAAAACCCAAATGCTGTAGACAGTAATCACTTTGGCTCTGAGGGAGAGGCTAGAGGGGATGGCTGGCACTTCTTCTGACCTGGCTTGAGGGAGGAAGTCAGGCTACAGGACCCATGGCAGAGGTCAACACAGCAGGGTGCCTCAACCCCAAGGATGCTCACACACCTAAGGTAAGGAAGGAATATTATGCCCCTGCCTGGAAAGCTTTGCTTTCTCACTTGCCATTCAATAAACACCCATTTTCTACCAAACACAGTTGGACAGCAGGAAATCATAAGTGAATGAGGTAGTGCTTCCCGCAGGAGCCTGAAGTCTACAGGGAAAGACAGGTCTATAACCATGGAACTGGAGTCCAGGTCAGGGGTGTGATCATTGGTGTACGTATGAGATGCCACAGGGAGCTAGAGGCATGGCCACCGAGATGACTGGGCTGAGACACAGGGCCTGAAAGTCTGAGCTCAAAAGTCACTCCAACTGCTGTCCAAAGTAGGAGAAGGCCCAGTAAGGGAGGAGCTGGGCAGCACTAATAATATTCCTGGTAACATATGCCCAGGAATGACAGAGAACACACATCCCACAGAGATGACCAACACAAAGAGGTAAGGAAAGATAGCTACCTCTCAAAGGCTGAAATACAACTTGAAGGATATTGGAGCAACCATTCAAGGCCATGGAAACTCAACAGTGAGCTAAATAATTACCCAGCAACACAATTCTGAGGAAAAAGTCAGAATGCTCAGGACAAAAGGGAAGTGAGATTTGAAACATAAAAAGGAGGAATTGGTCCTGGCTTAAAAGGAGACAGCAGCTTTCTGACTCAGACTCTAAACACCTTAAGAGTCAGGCCTCCTGGAGCATCAGCAAAGGCAGCCACTGCCACCATAGGGTGTGAACCCAGATAATTCTGGCAATCTTTCTAATGTATCCCAGGCATTAACACAAACACCACCCCCACACAACACCCCGGCAGCTGGAAGACATGTGCTCTGCCTGCAAAGGTGAGGGCCGGCAGGCCCAGCCAGGGGTGGAATTGCATTAGGTTGGTGGAAGCTTCCAAAGAAAGAAACATACAACCAGTTGGGTGGGAAGAAAGATGCTCCTGATCCCCGCAACCAGCCCTTCCTCTGCACCCACATGGGTGTGCAATGTCACTCTGTGGTTCTGTGCCCAGGGGAGAGGTGACACTCAGGAACCCCTGAACAGTATTATCTCAGCAGAGCAATGGCCCAGGGATACCAGGACACAGAGAGATTCATTCTTAGATCCACCCCAGGTCTTAAAGGGGAAAAAAAATGTCCCCAAAGTGATTCATTCATCTTTAAATAGTTCACAGAGGCAGATAAATGTTCTCCTTTAGAGGAGAAAGATTCAGGACAGAGAGACAGATACATTGGCTTAGGGTCACACAGTAAATTGGTGCCAGAAAGAAGCTAGGCTTCTCATCCTTTAATGTGCTATTTCTAGAGTCCCTGACTTTTTGAGTTTACACTGGGGCCAAGAAGGGGCTTTACTCCACTTGGGGTGGTGCCAGTCCAGCTAGCCAGGTCCTCTCTGACCTTGAATGAAGCATTTTTATCAGCGGTTTCTGGAACCAAACTTTTTCCCTGGCTGAGACCTCCCAAACTCTGATAAAAGAGGTGTGGGGTAGGGCAGGGAAGTTCCAGTAATGTGCATGAATACAGGATAACAGACATACCTGGCTGCTGTTTCTGAGAAGCAAAGATAAGAGTAAGGTGCTAGGCCAGGCACGGTGGCACATGCCTGTAATCCCAGCACTTGGGAAGCTGAGGCAGAAAGACTGCCATGAGTCTGCAACTAGCCTGGACTCTATAGTGAGTTCATGACCAGCCTGCACTCTACAGGAAAATTGTCTCTCAAATAACAAAAACACCAATAACAAAAAGGGGAAGGTGCCAAATGCTCCAAAAGAAGCAGAAGCTTTGCTGAGAGAAGAAATTGGAATGAGGACCTGAGGTCCTTGGGATGATACTTCGTACAGGTACTGGCATATTCTGGCCTGGCACGCTCAGTGAGCTTGACCAAGCCCTTGCTAGTACTTACCCCTAGGTGGGGAGTTCCCCTAGGAACATCCCCCTGTCAGAGGGGTGCTAAGGGATTTTCTTCTGTTTTTCCCTACGCTTCAGCGGAAGTAGAACCTAGACCATGGGAACTCCAACTGACTGTTTAACCATTAATAGCAACACTACCCCATCTATAGTAGCAGCCATCTGGGTCAAGGACTTCCCCTAGAGGCACCCTGCTTCAGTAGAAAAATCATCAGACCAAGCCTACCAACCAGCTGTTGGACCTTGGACAAAACATTTAACATCACTGTGATTCAGCTTTCTCATTTATAAGATGTGGATGCTGAACAAGATGCCTGCTATATATTTTTTCTAGCTCTAAAACAGAATTTGATAGAAGCCCAAACTTTAATTCTCCCGAGAGTACAAGGCTGAGAGTGAGCTGTCATCACCACCCTCTGGGATCTCTCTCATTTGTCCCAACAGGCTAGCACTTATGTGCTTTGTGTCTGCACTTCACACCATGGCCCCTGTGAAACCTTTCCAGCAGCTGGCTTAGATGTCTGGTCTGCTCCTTCTCCTAGGAAACATATTTTAGATTCACAATCCCTCTCTCTTGCAAATCTGAACTGTTGGTCTGAGGCTGAGGTGGGCAAGGACACTGTGCTCCCAGAATGGTAGGTCTGGTGTGGTAGGAGCTGGCACAGAAGTGGTCTACGAAAAGGATTTCCCTGTGTTCTCAAATTCAGAGGGGCCTAGGGACTCCCTAGCCATGAAACTGAATGAAGCTAGCATTTCATGATGTGCTGCAGCTCAATTCTTGGCCCTAGCAGTATTTCTGCCTTTCTTGATCATACCAGGGTGCTCCTATGGTGGAGGAAATGAGGGCCTGAGGACTTTAACATATCTGGCCAGGTCAGTCAAGTCAACAGTAACGGCAGAGCAAGGGTGGAAATTCAGGGGTCTGGAGCCCCAGGCCAATATTTTGTCCGCTTTTCCATCCAGAAGCAGGAGATTTTGAAAGAACCTCTGGCCTTCCAGCCAACACTAGGTCTTGTTTAAAACCACTGAGGACTGCTGGGCTCCAGGAAAGGGGTCTGGCCCTGACAGTTGAAGCACAAAGTTTGGGGCAGCGCTGGGGTGGGAATTACGTGTGACTGGGAGGCCATGGCTGCCCCTTCTCAGCGTTTGCTGCCAATGGGGCAACAGAGGCCTGCAAAAGGAAAAAAGAAAGCTTCTTGACCCTTCCTCTCCAAGGTAAGGGGGAAAGGAGATTTGGGGTTTTCCTCTCTTTCTCTTCTTTCCAGTGGGAACTCCTAGGCCCCCCAGGCCTGAAAGTCGCCCATCCTGAACATGCTAGCACCATAGGGATGCTTTGCCCCAACTGGAAAACCGGCCCCTCCCCCAGAACACCTACTTGGCCTGCAGAAGACCCCTCACCCTTCCTCAGCTGCCTGCTCACCTCCTCCGGGCGTCCCCTCCTGACCAGGCGGCACCGCGGGTCCCTCCCCAGGAGGAATCCTGCTAAGTGTCATTAGCCGTAAAACTCGCCCAGCACCGGGCATCCCGGGCGAGGTGCTCTGCAGCTCAGGTGCCCCCGCGACCCCCAAGACTCACCCAGAAGAGCATGTTGAAGAAGAAGAGCAGGTACTTCACCAGCGGGCTGACGAAGGAAAACTCCTCCCGGTAGGCGGCGGGCGCCCCGGGTCTCCGCGCCATGGTCCGCGGCGCCCCTGGGGGCCTATCTCCCCGCGGCGGCCGGCCCACCTGCGCGCCCCGCGCCCCGGGGCATGAGCCGCGCCGGGACCCGAGCGCGAGCCGCGGGAGTCCAGGAGCTGCCCGAGCCGAGCGTTGAGCGCCGGGGACCCGTCGCAGCCGGAGCAGCCAGGAGCAGACGGCGGCAGCTGGAGCCAGGGAGACTCAGCCGCGGCCGAAGGACCAGCCCGGCCCGCCCGGTTCTCAGGAAACAGGCCCGCCCCCGCCCGCCCATTGGTGCGGCTGCCACAGCCTGACTTCTCATTGGCTGGGCGCTGATGTCACTAAGTAGCCTGCCTTCCCTCTCCCGCCAGAGGCGGGGGAGACACCTGTTCTGAGGGACAACTTGTTAAAGGGTCGGCAGTTCTGCCTCCTCCTCCTCCTTCCCCCTTCCTGGAGAAGGAAAGCATCTAAGCTGCAGCTGCTCAAGGGAAAAAGAATGAGGAAAAAGAATGTACAATGCAGCCTATCCCCACGTCCTCTACCCAGTTGCTGCGCACACATACACACAAATACATGCTAAAATCAACAAGTATGCGCTCCGTGTGTTGAGCAATGCACTGAAAAACTGTGGGAAAACAAGGGGATAGTGATAATCCGAGGGGAGGATGATAATAAAACCAGAGATAAAACTAACCGACAGGTGACAATTGAAGACTACTAAAGGGTAGATGCAATCCTGTATAGCAACAATTACATATTTTAAATTCTTATTTCAAAAGCACTATAACCTGATAGTGAGGATTTGGAAAGATCGCCGACAATTTCACCATCCTGATTCATTACTGTCCACTCTCACAGCCCCCATCTCAGGCTTCTTGAGAGTCCTGGTCTACATGCAGACGCCGCCTAACAGGTGGACTGGGCATGCACAGGTCAGGTGCAGGGCAGGTGATGGATACTGTGCTACAAACATAAACCTCAAGGAAGGGCCTGATCTCACCATCATTGGCATGATCCAAGTAAGTTACTTAATCATCTCCTTGAGCCTCGATTTGCTTACTGTTAAATGGGGAGGGCCCTGACCTAATGAGAGTCAAGTGAGGATTAAATGAGAGAGTGTGCATAGGTTACTTAGTACATAGCTAGCACATAGAACGGGTCACTAAGTGCAGTCTATTTTTTAAAAGAGAGTTTAAAATCTAATACAGAGCTGGGCATGGTGGCACAGGCCAGTAATCCCAACACTCAATAGGTTGAGGCAGGAGGATTGCTTCAAGTTCAAGGCAAACCTGGGCTATATAAGTGAGTTCAAGGCTAGATTGCACTACATAGTGAGACTCTGTCTAAATAGTAAAATAAAATAAATAAAATCCAGTACACAAATCTGATGATTGAACAAATAACCATAATATATTTGAGGGGCTGGAGATTTGGCTCAGCAGTAGAATGCTTGCCTAGCAAACTGGAAGCCCTGGGTTCGGTTCTTGGCACCAAAAACAAAAAATAAACCTCCCCTAAAAAAAAAAAATTCAGCCACAATATATTTGACAGAAGGTAAGCAAATATATGACAAGTGAAATTAAATTTAACTCTTTTATTTTTTTGAGACAGGGTTTCTCTATGTAGTTCAGGCTGGTCTTGAACTCACTGTGTAGTCCAAACTAGCCTCAAACTCTTAGCAATCCTCCTGCTTCAGCCTCCCAATTGCTGAAATCACAGGTGTGTGCCACCACAGCTGGCTGAGGATGAGATTTAGAATAGCAGAGGTGAAGTGTAATCTAGGTGGAGAAAAAAAAAGAAAAGGTAAGCCAAAGCTTGGCGATATAAGCGCACACCAGGTGGACATAACAAAGAAGCCATTTGGATGGAGCACTGGAATACTTAGTGTGCAGTGGGAAGATAATACAGACTGATGCCAATGCATAAATTGAATTAAAATTTTGGAAGAACTTTAATATGAGATTGGAGAGTTAGTACTTAATTGGTTAAAAAATAAGAGCTTTGAAGGAGGAAGTAATGTAAGATTTGCTGTTCTCAGAGTGAAAGAGGGTAGAGAAAGTTTGGTAGGAGCCCACTAAGTTCAGAAAATCAGAAACTAAGATCTGATTTAGGAGTAATAGAGTGATAAACTGAAGGAGAGGACAAGAGTGAAGCTGCTGGGAAGATAGAATCACAAGGTAGAGGCTATGATTTAGGGTAGGGGTTTGGGGGACAGGGAGTGAGCTGGGACCAGGGTAGAAGGAGTGCAGCCACAACAGGTTAAGGGGTCACACAAAGAAGAGTTTTGCATGAAGGGGTTAAGGCATACATGGCTATACAAAGAGGAGGGGCCCACTTTCAGTTGCTACCGCAGGGAGAGCAGAGAAATATGCCAAGCGGCTGAGTGCTCCCATTAGCTGAGCATGCAGGCATCAGTTTCAGTGCAGACAGATGAGGAGGACAGACCGCAGAGGATCGGGGACAGCTGGGTGTGGGCGGGGAGCTGTGGGTAAAGGCTCTAGACTAAAGGTCCTCAGAGGGAAAAGAACATCCTCTTCTAGCACAAGAGACCTGACATGTATGTGGTTGTTTGTTTGTTTGTTTGTTTTAAGCCTGTACAAAGGGACTGAGGTGAATATTGGACTGGCCAAGGTTTAGGAGATACTGGGTAGAGATGGGATCAGGAGTTGAACTGAAGACCATTAATGTCCATCATGTGGAAGTCAAGGATGGCCCCACAAGGAGGAAGTCACATCGCTGTAGGATAAAGAAAGCAGAACAAGCTCCAATATGTTATTAAGTAACAAAAAAAAAAAAAAAGTGACATGGGAAAGTGTATATACTGTAATGTTATATTCTGGTTAAAAGGATTAAAAATGGCATTCGGTCACGTGTGGTAGCACACGGCTATGATCTCAGCACTCAGAAGGCTGAGGCAGGAGGATCACTGTGAATTCAAGACCAATCTGGACTACATAGCAAGACCCTGTCTCAAAAAAATAGTTATTGCTTTCATCTTCCCAAATAGACTCTAAGAATATACTGCTATACACACACACACACACACACACACACACACACATAAATAAAATAAAATTAAAAAAGAAAAAGAAAATAAATGAAAGAGGCTTTTATTTTTTTTTAACATTTATTTATTTATTTATTTATTTATTGTATGTGTGTGTGTGTGTGTGTGGCCAGCTCAGCCCACCAGGGGGCGGGGCTGGCTGGCATGTGGTGCTGGGGGATTGAACCGTGGTCCCTGTGCTTTGCCAAGCTTGTTCCAAGTAGGTGCTTTAGACCACTGAGCCATCTCGCCAGCCCAAGGCTTTTATTTTTTATTTTTTAAAACTTACATATTTGAAAAAAATTGTACAAAAACTTATGTGTTTGGTACAGGGTCTCACCGTGCAGCTCAGACTCCTAGCAATCCTGTTTTCAACCTCCCCAGCACTGGGATTCCAGGCATACACCACCATGCCAGGTCTTGGTAGCTGGCTCAGCATGCCTGGGGGTGGGGCCAGTGTGATCTGTGGTGCCAGGGATTGAACCCCATTCCCTGCGCTTCTCTAAGCAGGCACTTAGTCTGTTGAGCTATCTCACCAGCCCTAGTTCTAGAAATTTAAAAGCATCAGAACAGCAGCAGTCAGAATGGTTGTGGTACATTTGAAAGAGGACTTAGAGGAAGTGCCAGACTTCCTCATATCAAGACCTACTCAAAAGGACTAATCCGGGGCTGGAGAGATGGCTCAGTGGTCTAAAGCACCTACTTGAAACAAGCTTGGCAAAGCACAGGGACCGCGGTTCGATCCCCCAGCACCACATGCCAGCCCGCCCCGCCCCCTGGTGGGATGAGCTGGCCACACACACACACACAATAAATAAATGTAATAAATAAAAATAAATAAATAATTAAAAAAAAATTTAAAAAAAAAAAAAAAAAAAAGGACTAATCCATTCCTTGAAACCCACATTAGTCCCTTGTATGGGTGGTGCCCATGATCTAACCTTCCCCTAGGCCCTACCTCTTTATGGTTCACACCTCAATATCAACACAGTGGGGACCAGGCCTCTGCCACAGAAATCCTTGGGGACCAACCCTAATCCAAACTATAGCAAGTGAAGGGCCAGCAAGATAGCTCAGTGGGCTAAGCACCTGCTTAGGCAAGCACAGGGACCAGGGTTCAACCACTGGCATCACATGCTGGCCCTGGCCCCGGGCATCCTGAGCTGGCCACCTAGACTGGGTATGGTGGCACATGCCTATAATCCCATTGCTGAGGAGGCTGAAAACAGGAGGACAACTATGAGTCAGAGCTGCACAGTGAGACCCTGTACCAAATACATTTTTTAAAAACTATAGCAAGTAGAATTTTTTATTTTGCCTTCCTTTATCATATCTTCCCTCCCTCCTTCTTTTTCTTCTTTTGTGTATATTAACTTCTTATTGGCATACAGCATACCTGCAAAATGCAGCATTCACTTTTATTTATGTGTGTTCATTATACCTTTTGTTTATATTCTTTTAAAGTCTGAAATCAAGGGCTTGGACGTAGCTCAATGGTAGAGCACTTGCTAGCATGTGCAAGGTCCAGGCTTCAGTCCCAACACCACAGAGAAAAATATCTAAAATCAATGCAAAAATATTTTCCAGAATAATCACAATTTTGTAAAATTACAAGAATTATGTAGTTTAAAACATTGTGTGGTACACCATAAATGTGCACAATTTTTATCTATGAATAAAAATAAATATATAAAAGAATTATTCTAAGGGTATAGAAGAAAATGCACTACAATATAAATACTGGTTATCTCTGCATGTAGGATAATGGCTGCTTTTTATTTTATCCCTATTGCTTTTCTTCTTCCTCAAAATTTCTTTAGTGTACATGCTTTACTTCTAGTGAGCAATAATATTTGGGATTCTTGTTTCCACTTTTTGTTGTTGCTGTTTTCTTTGTGACACGGGGTTTCATTGTGCAGTTAAGGCTGGGCTTGACCTCATTTTGTAACCCGGGCTGGCCTCGGACTCACAGAGATCCTCCTGCCCAACCTCCCAAGTACTGGGGTTACAGGTGTGCGCCAGCAAGCCTGGCTCCTGTTTTCACTTTTGATTGGAAGTATTTTGTTTTCCTTTTTAGTGGTGATGGGATTTATTTAAACAAATAAAAGTGAAGCATGAAGAAGAAGCTGCCCCTGCAGAGCAGGTGTGGGCCAAGTAAAAGAGGAAACAGCAAGATAAAAGTACACCTTGGG